AGTTCTCTGTGAAGAGAGGTAATGAGAGATAAATTATATTTAAAGAAAGTTAACTATGAAGAAAGGTAGTGAGAGATATAAATTATATTTAAAGAAAGTTAACTATGAAGAAAGGTAATGAGAGATATAAATTATATTTAAAGAAAGTTAACTATGAAGAAAGGTAGTGAGAGATATAAATTATATTTAAAGAAAGTTAACTATGAAGAAAGGTAATGAGAGATATAAATTATATTTAAAGAAAGTTAGCTATGAAGAAAGGTAGTGAGAGATATAAATTATATTTAAAGAAAGTAAACTATGAAGAAAGGTAATGAGAGATATAAATTATATTTAAAGAAAGTTAACTATGAAGAAAGGTAATGAGAGATATAAATTATATTTAAAGAAAGTTAACTATGAAGAAAGGTAGTGAGAGATATAAATTATATTTAAAGAAAGTTAACTATGAAGAAAGGTAATGAGATATATAAATTATATTTAAAGAAAGTTAGCTATGAAGAAAGGTAGTGAGAGATATAAATTATATTTAAAGAAAGTTGACTATGAAGAAAGGTAATGAGAGATATAAATTATATTTAAAGAAAGTTAGCTATGAAGAAAGGTAATGAGAGATATAAATTATATTTAAAGAAAGTTAACTATGAAGAAAGGTAGTGAGAGATATAAATTATATTTAAAGAAAGTTAACTATGAAGAAAGGTAATGAGAGATATAAATTATATTTAAAGAAAGTTAACTATGAAGAAAGGTAATAGCTATGAAGAAAGGTAGTGAGAGATATAAATTATATTTAAAGAAAGTTAGCTATGAAGAAAGGTAGTGAGAGATATAAATTATATTTAAAGAAAGTTAGCTATGAAGAAAGGTAGTGAGAGATATAAATTATATTTAAAGAAAGTTGGCTATGAAGAAAGGTAGAGAGAGATATAAATTATATTTAAAGAAAGTTAACTATGAAGAAAGGTAATGAGAGATATAAATTATATTTAAAGAAAGTTAACTATGAAGAAAGGTAGTGAGAGATATAAATTATATTTAAAGAAAGTTAACTATGAAGAAAGGTAATGAGAGATATAAATTATATTTAAAGAAAGTTAGCTATGAAGAAAGGTAATGAGAGAT